GGTATGTAGCAATCAGTAAACCATTACAATACAACAACATAATGAACCCCAGGATTTTATCTGTTTTAATAGCTATAAGCTGGATTTATCCGATGCTTTGTGTTGGTATTGCTGGTATATTAAATGCCAGACTCACGATGTGTGGTAACAAACTGTGGAAGGTGTACTGTCACAACTGGGAAATTGTCAAGCTTTCTTGTGCAAACACTATTGTTATTAATGTTTTTGGCTTTTTCATAGCGACCACAACTCTCATCATGCCTTTAAGTTTTATATTATACTCTTATGTTAAAATCCTTATCATTTGTAGAAAAAGCTCACTAGATTTCAGGAGAAAAGCATATCAAACTTGTATTCCACACATAGTGATTCTCTTAAATTTCTCAGTAGCTCTTTTTTGCGAGGTCACTTTGAGTCGGGTTGCAACTTTGGAACTCCCTATAGGGCTGTCAATCATTCTTTCATTAGATTTTCTCATCGTACCACCCATCCTGAACCCTCTTGTTTATGGTTTCAATTTTCCTGAAATTCGCAAAAAAATTCAATGGATTATAAAAGCTTGCAAACAGCTGTAACAGATGCTGCACAGAATGTTAACAAAGTTCAATGATTGTATGATTGTATTGTATAAATTATGTAATCATGGTGTACATTACATTTTATGAACCTGTGAATTTGAGACTTTGCATTTTACTGTAAGTCTTTGCCACAATTATATATTTACTATACTTTTTATTTCAAATTTAGCATGTTACTGGATTCATGACATGGTTCAGACCCTCGGTCACCTCTCAGATCCCAAATATATCAGATACCGGACATTGCCTGTAAAATTAATGTATGCAATATAATATATATGCATATAAATGGATCAATATATTAATATATGCATTATATATATATATATATATATATATATATATACCAGTGCTGTCAACACATTAATCACGATTAATCACATCCAAAGCAAAAAAATAAGTTTTTGTTTACATATAAATGAGTGTGTACTGTGTATATTTATTATGTATATATAAATACAAGCACATGCATGTATATATTTAAGAAAAATGTTATGATTATGTATTAAATGTTTATATATAATATAAAATATAATAATATAAATATATAAATGTAT